TCTGATATAAAAATTAATAAGAATGAAATAAAGTTTCATTTAAATTAGAATAGAGATACCTTTGTATTAGGTTAGCAAAAAGCAATATTTTGAAAATTATCTACAAGTAAATCTTTCATTTTATCTATACATAAGATTAATTTATAATACATAAAACACATACATTTAAAATACATAACAAATTTTAGAAAGAAAACTAAGGAATATTTCATTTTGGGTTATGTTATTCCTCATCTTTAATAGAAGCAGAAGTATATAAATATTAAAAGATGCTATCTACAATATTTATTTAATATTAAATAAAACAAGAAGAGAATAAAAAGCTAAATAAAATAAAAATGTTAATATATATAAAATTTAGTTTAACAAGCTTCTTCTGTAAACATTTAAAAGTAAATATGATACTACATTTTCAAAAAAAAAAAAATTCATAATTACCTTATATAAATTCTTTTTCCTATTAATATTTATATATATATTTATATTTCTTTTATATTTTTACCTTCTTTTGCTTTTATCTTATCAAGTTCTTTTTTCCACTTTGAATACAACTTACTTTCTTTTTCATTAACTTTCATATTTTCTTCTCTTTTCCACTTTTCATTTTTTTCCATTATACTCTTTTCCCACTCTTCTTTTCTTTTAGCATTTCCTTTTCAAACTTTTCAATTATTTCTAGCATTCTCTTTTCCCCCTCTTCCTTATTTTTTTGTATTTCATTTTCCAACTTTATTTTTTCTATTATCATTTCCTTTTTCCAATTTTCGCCTTTTTTTATAATTAGCTTTTCCCACTCTTCCAATTCTTTTAGCTTACTCTTATCACACTCTTGCTTTTCTTTTAGCGTTCTCTTTTCCCACATTTCCTTTTCTCTTAGAATTCTCTTTTCCTTCTCTTCTATTTTTTTTTTTTTTTTTAGCAGTTTCTTTTCCTGCTTTTCCATGTTTTTTTCTTCTTCTCGAATTTTCTTTTCCAAATCACGTTTCATCTTTTTATTGCTATTATCCAATATCGTCTGCAACCTAACATTCATTTCATGTTTAGCTTTCAATTTAGGAGAGTGAGCTCTCTATAAATTATTACAAATGATTTAAAATTTTGTTTTTATTACATATATAAAATTTATAATTATAAACTTTATTTTACCTTAAAACGAAGGAAAAAAATAATAATGATAACTAACTGAAAAATATTTAACGACTTTTTATGAAGAACATTTATTGATGTAGCTGAATCCAAATTGATATCTTTAGATGGATTTTGAATGGCATCACGTGAATTCAAATTACGAAGTAATGGATTTTCTGGTATTGAAACAGTTGCATCTTTAATTGCCCTATGAGCGAAACTTGCAGTTGATTCTCCCTCATTTAGTCTCTTATTAGAGTCAATACTAATAGCATCACTAAGATTAAGATCCATTTTTGGTATCTTTAAAAGTGTAAAAAAAATTATTGAGAAATTATTTCAAATATTTGTTTTAATGAATTTTAAAATATTTCCCTTTTTTTTCAGTAAGGATAATATAAGTTAAAAACAAAAAATATGGAAATATAAATTAGAAATTAACAAATAATTTAAAACAATATGATTTTTGAAAAAAAAATTAGTTTTAAAATTTTTTTTTTTTTTAAATTTTAACACAGAAATGTCTATTAAAAGGTAAATCTATAACTACAACATAAAAATTTACAATTTAAAATTCGAAATCCCACATCCTAAATCCTAAAATTATTAATTATATACTATAACCTCTTATTTATTATATATTTTTAATTATATTTTTCATAATAGATATGTTGTTTAAATAATCAAAAAATAATAAATTTTTAGTTAATCTTTTATACTTACAAAAAAAAAATATTCCTTTTCATTTATCTATTTAATTTTTTTATTTAAATTAAAAGAGAATAATATAAAATATTATTTAGATATGCAAAAAAACAATGTTATATTCTTTTTTTACTTAAAATTTTTTTAGAAGAGTTTATATTTACATACAATTATATAGGGTTTTAAAAATTTTTTTTTTTATTTTTATATATTTTTTTATTTATTTTTCTTTTTTTAAAAAATTATTTATTCAAAACATGCAATTTTATCCTCGTTTATTTGATGTATTTGTATATATTTTACATGCTTTGAATGAGTGATCCTTAATTATATAATCTACTTCATTCAAAATTCTTTATTTCCAATAGCCATTTATTTACTTTAATAAAAATCTTCATTTTTATTAAAAATTTAAATCCTTATTTAACATTAATTATTAAATAATTGTAAATTACTAGTTTATTTATTATGAGTTACATTTAGCAATTAATATATATTGCTGTTGAATTAACAAACATAAACAATTATTTACAAATATCAAAAATTATACAAATATTAATTACATGAAAATTTTATTGTTATATGTATAAAATTTTCTTTTACAAAATTCATCATAAAAATTATTTCATTTCCTTCCTCAAAAAAAAAATTCTTTTTTTTTTTTTTTTTATTTATTTATTAATAACAAATATTTTAAAAAAAATTGATTTTTTAATCAATTTTTTTTCCTGACGATTTATACATTTTTTTTTTTTATCATAATTTTTCCTGACAGTCTTTGTATTTTTTTTTAAAAAAAAGTACAAAAAAAAAAAAAATCATCAATTTTTTTTTTGCGTGTGTGTGTATGACCAACTTCGTATCCTTCATTTTACTAGTCCTTTTATTTTCCAAAAAGGTTAATTAAGCCTTTTATTAACCACCAATAGATGTTAATATTATTATATAAATTTGAAAAATAAATATTTAATAAAAAAAAACAGCATGTGTATAGAAAACATAAAAAAAAAAAAAAAAAAAAAAAAAAAGGCTTAACTCATAAAAACATGAGATATTAAGAATTTTAAAGATACATTTTAAGTATTCAATTTAATATTGAGAAGTTTTAGATGCTTTTGTAGGTAATAAATATAATAATAAGCCTATTTTTTAAGATAATTTATTTTCTAAAAATTATTAAAACTTATAATATTGAATCTTTTTTTTTATTTATTTAAAAAAAAAAAAAAAAAATGGACAATATAAGTAATCAAAACTAATTGCTAGTATAACATGAGTTATAAAAATGTTTTACATATGAAAAATGTACTAATTTTTGAAAAAAAAAAAAAAAAAAAATTTTTTTTTTTTTTTCTTTTTAATTGTAATTAATTTATTTGACTGCAAAATGTGCTTTTTATAAAATTTGTTATTATAATTTCTT